ATTATGTCTTTTAATATGTACCAAGGCTGAAACTAAGGCCAGGTTTATCTTGTTAACTCACTGCACCTTCAAGCCTTTCAGCTATTTGTTTAACTGCTTCCAAGGCCAGAGCAAACAAAATATTGTTTCAGTGAGAAGGGAGTTAAAAGATTTCCCAAGTGAAAGCAGCTGCAGCACCATCCACTTTGCCTTGCACTTAGCCCTGTTCTGTTCCAGGCACCCCCCAGTGCTCTCCGTCAAATAAAATCCATCAGCCTATGTGGCCCCATCCTGTGTCCCAGTCTCATCTGTTCTCTCCTTACTCTACTCCAGCCAGACTCGCCTCTGGACATGTCTTTGAACATAATAAGCTCTCGTCCACAAGGTCTTGGTACCTCTAGACTTTGGCTCTTTCCCGCCCTACCTGGACAGCTTATTCTCTGCATCACTCACACTTTTAACTCCCTTCCTTAAAGGGGCCCTTCCTAACAACCTCATCAAAACCTCTTCCCCTCATAGTCTCTTAATTTTCAGTGTGTTCCCTTTAAGCATTTTCCCTGCTTTCTAATGAGACTACTCTCTTACTTGCTTATTCTCTGCCCTACAGTACTGCTCACACCTTCCAGGAATATGAGCTCCCTGAGACAGAAATCCTACTACCTTTCTTACACCACAAGACCTAGCACCAAATAAATGACTTATTCAATGAATTATCAAATAGAGAAAGAAAAAAAGTATTTGTAAATGCACGTGGTCTAAATTGGCTTGTTATAAAAATTAAAGTGAAAATGGGAAAAAAAGAAAACCTCTACAAATTGTGTCAATGATTCATTACTCTTTTCTATCAAAATATATCTTTGATACTTCAATTACCCTGATTTGATGAATTTGCATTGTACGCATCAAAACATCACATGTACCCTATAAAGATATACAGCTATTATGCACTCATGATAATTAAAAAAAGAATGGATCTTATCTTTAACCCAAGGGTTAAGCAAACCAGAATTCCAGGAAAGTAATCTACTCTAACCAAAATTTGCCTCATAGGAGTTGAAGAAATACAGTTCACACAGAAATTTCATCAATATGTCAAAGTCCTCTCTGCCTCCCCAGACTCTCCCAGGCAAACCCCACACTTTCAACCACAGCAGAAAGCTTGTTTCCTTCCCATCTTAACTATTGTTCTCCTCTTTTCTAAGTTGGCTGCAAACTTTCTCCTCTTGGCCTCACAACAGCTGAGCAGCAGCTGGAAGGATCCATGGAGAAGCACCCTCGGGTGATCAGGAATGGGCACAGGGAAGTGAGAAGAAAGAAGGACAAAACAGGATTTTTGCAACTAGAGGTCCCAAAGTCTGGTATTGACCCCAGACACGTCGCTTGTCAGTGTGATGGCTCAGACTGCCAGCATGCAAAGATTAGCTTTGCCACTAACACGCTGTGTAACTCTAGGTAAGTTACTCAGCCACTCTGTTCTCAGTTCCCTCTTCAATTGTGAAGATTAAGTCAAGTCATTGTAAAGAACTTACACTGGCAGAGTAAACTCCATGGATTTCAGCTATGATTATTTCTTCTGTGTGTGTGTATACATGTGTATAAAATGTCATTAGCTGATGAAGATCTTTTCTAGCATGAGCAAACTGTTGTTTAATAAGTTTAATTCTTAAGTTAAATATTTTGGGTTTGAATTCTGTCTGAGAAATGTTGTCTTCTTGAATTTGCTATTTGCCTTTTTATTTTTTTTTTTTTTAAGTAAAACAACAGGATTGTGAAGGGAGAATGGAAAACAGAGTTACCAAATCCTCTAAGAGAAAATTCTTGATCCCTGAAATCCTGGATAAACCCTCGGAACTTCGCTCCAGTGCGATCTTTGTCAGGTGGGACATGACTGTGCAAGACAGAGTGACAGAGAAACCAGGAGAAGGAAATGAGGTGAGAGCAACCCTTGTGGGAAACAGGTCTAGGAAAGGTTGTGTGAAAGAAAAATTTCTGGAAAAACTGAAAACTATTCAGAAAAAAATATATAGGACCAGGATCACTACCATGAATCAATCACATCCTACGGGCCAGACATTATTTCACATGCTTACATACACTCAATTCATTTAATATTTTCATCCACCTCAGGAAATAGGAGGCTTTATAATTCCCATGATGTACACAAGGAAACTGAGGCAGAAAGAGGTAACGTAGTCGTCCCAAAGATCACATAACTTTCAAAGAAACTCTTCATTTAAAGTCTCAATAAGATGATAGTTTGACAGATGTGGGATTCCTTTAGAATTGGAAAGGAAAAGGATAGGAGCCCCGCTGATGCAAATGTATAACATTTTTTTTTTTGAGGTTTTAGGTTCAAAAGCTTTTGTATTATGTTAGAAAGTATCTCTTAAACTCTGATCTGTTTAATCTACTCCAATAAAGAAATAATCAGGCTATACTAGAAAATAAGTCGTCAGAGATACGCATCGATGAATTCTTTTGTTTGCGTGGAAAGCAGCCTAAAGCTTTAGAGTATGTAGCTTTTCTACCACATTTATAATAATTTTTTGTTACTCAGCCTTGCTGGTGTCTTTTCCCTTTACCTTGCCCTAATGAGCAATAGTCTGCTTGGGATAATAAAGAAGAACATTAAATAGGAAGAGAAAAATAATACAAGAGTTAAGACATTGGTCACACAAGGTAATTTCTCAGACACTATAAAATCCTTGCTTCCCTGATTTGTAGCAGGGAAACTTACTTAATAACTATCATTTTTCTAACTCCTTTTGGAAGTGAAAATCCAATACAGTCTTTAGTGGGAGACACACACACACACACACACACACAGAGCAAGGGCATTTGAAAATGCTCACCCATTTAGATTTAATTACATACATAACTGGTGTCCTACCAAGTGTGAAAATGTTGTAACCAATAAATCAAAGAAAAAATGCTATTTGGGCAGAAATGATTTTTTTTTTTTTAGAGACAGAGTCTCACTTTGTCGCCCTGGGTAGACTGCCGAGCTCACCACAACCTCCAGCTCCTGAGCTTAGGCGATTCTCTTGCCTCAGCCTCTGAGTAGCTGGGACTATAGGTGCCCACCACAATGCCCAGCTATTTTTTATTGCAGTTTGGCCAGGGCGGGGCTTGAACCCACTACCCTTGGTATATGGGGCCAGCGCCCTACTTACTGAGCCACAGGCACAACTGATTTATACAGAAGATTCGTGAGAAATCAAAATTCACTGAATTGCATACAGTCTTTCCATCCAGAGGACTTCTTAAATGCAGAGCAAATGCCTGCTCTTTGAATCTTGCCTTATTTTGAACACTTAGGTTAGTCTTTTTCCCTAGAGTGTGCAAGGACTTCTAAGAGAAAGATTTCACTTTAAAATCACGTTTGTGTGAAGAAACCACTGGATCTGTGCTTATACGTTAGATTTTAAGGACCATTTCGTTTGTCTATTTCTGTTTCTTACATGCTTAATAACTACTAAATGAAGCTAAATTCAGCAGAAGGATCTTCCACAATGATAAGAGCTCCAAACTTCTGCAAAACCAAAGGGGAGGCAGGAGGGAACCCCCAGATTCCCCAAATATCTTCCCAGGCAGTATCATAAAAGTACATTAAAAAAATTAGTAATTGAACACTTTAAATATTGCCAGCAGTTCTGAGCTTCTGGACATAGATTTTCAAATGTACCTACTTTGAACTGAAATTTCTCTTGTCAATGATAAACTTGGAATAAGAAACTGAGGGAGACTGGAGTCCTGTGCTACTTTGGGTATAACTTTGCCCAGTGTAAATGGCTTGAGTGGAACATTTTTCATGTTCCCATTTGTAACACCATTAAGTGGAAAACATTTCCCCCCTTCAATAAAACCTCGTGGAAATATCTTACTACACTCATAGCTGCTGGTCAACCATGTTAAAGGCAGTCTGAGCTTGCTGACACTTTCCTAAGGAAAAGAGCCAGTGGGCTGAACAACTTCCTCATTCCTCCCATGTATGAAAATGTAACAGAGCTAGAGTTTCAAAACCATTCGCGGGTTCAAGTAAAGAAGTAAATACAAAAGAGCAGGAACTTTTACTTTTTCATTCAATGATAATGCTCTGTAGTTTTCACTGGTTAATTCAGAAGCAGAAGGGCTCTCCGCAGGGTTGCAATAGTTCATTTCTTAATAGACTTTCTGCCTCACACCGTAAAGAGAATTTCAGTTATAGCCTGGTGAGAGTGTGCTTTGCCTGTTTGGGGACCGAGGCTCTGACAGGAAAAGGCACTGAGACCTGGGGACAGTGGGAAACAGGCAGAGTTCAGAGACACTCTCAGAGCAACTCAAGCAGGATCCATTTCCGAGTTCTCCCCAGCTGCAGCTTTTAAGTCTGGATCTGGCTGCTGTTCTTGTTGTTCTAAATATTTATCAGTTAACAATTACACATCTGCCCCAATGGCAACAAAGTTGACTGAAGAAATAAATAAGAATGCATTCTATCCCCAAGTATGCAAACAAAAGAAAATCCACTTGAAGTTTTTTGAAACAGGAGCTTTTGAATTCAATTGTCAGACTTAAGTCCGGCTTTGTAGACATCAATTTTATTGAGCATAAGGAAACATGAGGCTATTCCAGCGTGCTCAGTGCCTCCTTTCTGTTTTCTACTTTTTGCCTCTTGTTTGGTTCTCTGCAGTGAGTTTTTCTAGTGAGTATCTGCTTCTCTTATCATTCCTGCCGGCTGCACTGAAGTTAACAGAACTGCTTAGCAAAGTCCCCTGATTGCTGGTACCAGAACCTTTCACACAGAAGAGAATTGCTTTCACTTGCAAATGCTTTCTGAAATAAATTTACAAAAGAGTGTCTGATATGATTTACAGTCACTATATGATTAGGACTCTAAACTCAGACCTACATTTTGCAAGCTTTTTCTTTTTATATCTGCAAAGGACTCTTTGAACACGTTTACGTAAATTGACCTTTCACGCTGTAAATGAATGTAGTTTTTACAAACCCGAGTCACAGGTGCAAATACCAATTGTACTAACCTTAGTATACTGAATCTTCAAATTGGCGAGTGGAGCAGGTAAGTCTGGCATGCCTGAGGACGACATTGCTGGTGCAGCTCCTGGAACACAGGTGACAGGCAATTTGGTTCTGATAGAGCACTCGGCTTTATTTGTTCCTTTTTATCTGCACGGGCTAAAGTTTATTTGCATACTGGGATATGATTGGATGGACAAACTCAGAGCAAAAAAAAAAAAAAAAAAGAAAAAGAAAAATGACCCTACTTATTTGTTACACCTAGTGCAGGAAGCCTTTGACTTTAAACTTAAATCCTTAAGAACCCAGCGCTCCAGCCCTGAAGTTGCATCTGGAGACAAGGCACTATTTGCAGATGAATTAATTTACAAAGCCGAAACCTGTGATAAGAGTGTGCAGTGCAGCTGCTCCGGCCACTAAGTCCAGTTATCATTTTCTTGATTTTTCATGCTTTGTATGCTACTATGTAACTTTCTGTTCTCTGATGGACTTAGAGAGAATTTGAGGATTGACAAAATCTAAAAGGGCACTTGTGTTCAGCAAAGGCTGATGAGGTGAGAACTCTGGACAGGTGTCTTTAAGACAAGGCTGTCAGGAAAACAGTCCATCTCTCCAGATGGACTAGAAAGCCCTTCTATTTAGACTCTGGCCTAAGTTAGCTTTAAAATGTCACACCAAGTATATTTTGAGCACCAGGTGAGCAGACCTACTATAATTCAGGAGCCCTAATTTTATTTTTATTTTCTACACATGAACAGAAAAATTAGCAGGACTTTTAGGGAACTCAGAGTTTACTGTCACACACAGACGCCACAATTAAGAATAGGGCAATAGCATCTATGAAAACCAGTTTAACATGAAAACAACCTGTGGTTTTGGAAGTTATCTGTATTTATCCATATATGCAGCTGTACAAGGAATAAATCTAAGTAAAACTCCCAAATAATTCAAATTCTTGAGTTAATGTTTCAAGCTGGGGACATTCAAGATAGACAATTTTTAATTGTACTGCTCTCGTTTTAAGCACAATACTTCACTGTAATGTAGCTCTAGCAAAAGTTACAGTAGGAACGAGATAGAATATTTGGGATGCTCTGATTATCAACAGTTTTGTTCCAGTGGAAATGTCCAGCTTCCCTGAATATGGGTTTTAGATAGAGAATCTAAGAATTGTATAGTTTACTCAGATCAGGTGCCAGAGCCGTAGTTTCTCTATCTTTACTTGATATTTCCATTTTACAGACGCAGAGAGGGTGATTAGCTTGCACAGGGTCACATAATAAGGGCAAGACTAGAAATTCATTTCAGGCCAGTCTGACTCTCGAACCTGGGCCTTACACCTGTTTTCTTTCTGCCCTCTTCTCCACAAGAGGATTCCCAGATGGGTTCAAGAATCAACTCCTTCTCTAGGTGAATAGTCACTCTCACTGACACTGAAGTATAACTTTCTAATCGCCTAAGACAGGGGTTGAAAATTTCTGCTGTAAAAGAATAGACAAATATTTTCAGCCTTCTGAGCCAGACAATCTCTGTTGTAACTTACTCGACTCTGCTTGAAAGAAACTATAGACACCAGGTAAATTAACATGTATAAGTGTTTGCCAGTGAAATTTTATTTACGGAAACAAGAGGAAGGCTAGATTTGGAGCGTGGACCAACAACCTAGGTGAGTGTTTTCAACCTTTGTTGTCGCCTGGCACACTGAATCTATAGTTAAACTTCCACAGCATTCTTAAATTATGTTGATCAAAAAAAAATGAAAAAGAGTAAAAAAGAGAATATATTTATTGTGATTTGACTTCTTTGGAAAGTAATTTAATTAATGATCTTTGAAAATGTTTGTGGCACACCTAAGATCCCCTCAAGCACAATAGTGTGCCCTGGCACATCTGTTGAAGATCACTGCCCTCCATGCTAAGGCAATACCATCTCTGTGGGCCTCAGCTCCACTGGCCTCATGCTTGAGGAACAGATAGACCTCTGTGTTCCTTCTCCATTTCTCTTTCTCCTTCAATTTCTTTCTTTTTGGAAAATCATTCCTTACGCTTTGAAAAATGTGTTTTGAGTTAAATGTATAATTACACAACAGCTGTTGCATAACTCCCAGCCTGGTGCTCTGGCCGTGCCCAGACAGCTGTGTCTTGCTGCTTTCCCCAGGCATCCAGGTTCACATTTGTTTGTGGATCAAACTCTGGTTTATTTGATGCCCACACAGTGACAGCTCAAGGCTTCATGACACACTTGCTATGTCATCTGCTTATATGTTCACCCTTGATTGTATTTTTTAATTGGCTAATTGTGTAAGAACAGCACTTTTATACCAGTCTTTATTAAAGGCAGGTGAAAGGAGCAGCTTTCGAGACAGGTTACCACACCTGCCCATTTGATTTCAACAAATATTTACTAATATGCATGCATCCATAATTACCCAACCTAACCTCACTTGAAGAGATCTTTTCTGTCCAGAAACCACAGGACCTGATATTTACGTATTTGAGGATGTATCACCCTGAGAACTTACCTGCTAGAACAGGATATTCCTGGGAATGGTTCCATGGGTACAAGGCTTTATTTGACCACTTCCCTCCTTCATAGAAGGAAACATGGCTTTGGTGGGTACATGGGGACCAAGGAGGCACATTTCAGGCCCGGACCCAGCGTCATGTATTTTATTGTTTGCCAGGATTGTGCAACAAAAGGAGCAGGTACTTTAACTTGAGGGTATTGATTGATGTTTCACTTCTTAGGGACAAGGTAAATTACACACACACACACACACACACACACACACACATATGGAGATAGAAAAGTAAGAAATATATGAGAACAGTTCATTTACTTCTTGAAGATGACTTCTTCCAGGCCTTTGTGAAAGTTGTCAGTATGCCAAGAATTGTACAGACTGTGTCTTCAGCCATTGCTGAAACTCCTCTCTCATTTTACAACAAGCCTCTCCAGGTCCATTCAAGTCTCAGTGACTGAAAAGATGAAAAGTGCCTAACCGTCCACCCACATAAGTAATTACAAGGAAAAACAATCAAATTCGTTAACTAAGTTTATTGTATGGTGTAATAAAAACGGCTTCTGCATGGACTGAATGTTTATGACCCCTCAGGATTCATATGTTCAAAACCTCACCCCCAGTGTGATGCTATTAGGGATGGGATTTGGGGAGGTAAATTTGGTTGGAAGGGTGGAGCCCTCATGAATGGAATTAGTGCCCTTGGGAAAGGGACTCCCATGGAGGTGTCTTGCTGTTCATCCATATGAGGAGGCGAGAAGCCAGCAATCTGCAGTCCCAGAAAGGGCTCTCACCAGAACCTGACCCTGCTGGACCCTGATCCCAGACTCCCAGCCTCCAGAACTGTGCAAAATAAATGGCTGCTGCTCATGTGCCACCCAGTCTATGTCACTTTTGTCAGCAGCCTAAAGGAACTAAGGCAGCTTCTTTGTACATTTCATGATTTCAGAATCCTGTGTCCATTTATTGAAGCTGGACCTGTCCTGCTCCAGTCCCGAGAGCCTCCCCAAGTACCCCTTGTTGCCTTTGGCCTGGCTGAAGGATGAGTCTGCATGGAGGTCAGCCCAGCCCTGGATACACTGCTATGTTTTGCATCAGTTTTAGCAGATGTTACATCACTCTTATTCCTGTTTAGGTTTTAATAATTTGGAAAAATGGATCTTGTATGTGGTGAGAGAATTTGTGTTTGGTTGGTGCATTGGTGTTCAGAACAGAAATGGAAGGCAGAATCCAAGTACATGAACATACGTCTCTGTGGGCTAATTTCTGTTCACCCACTGTAGTTCCCCCTTAGCACGTTTCCTCCCCCTGACTTCTCCTGCTCCTCATAATCCCTTTATTATTTTTCTCTGACTTGTGTCACTGAGATAGATGCCCCTCTTATCTGATACAATCAGGAACACTGACTAGTAGGGTCACCGCAGATTAAAGCCCCCGTAAGATAATTATTTTAAATAGATTTTTGCTAAACATTATGGGTGAAGTCAATTTCTTAGAACTGGGTCTACTGCTTGGAATGTGAAATGATCTTTCATAAACAGTGCTTTCCATTGTGTTGTGTATAGTTTTCAGTTTGTTTTCTTCGGGCAGAAAGAGAAACTAGTAACTAAAGATATCTGTTAGGCAATCTAAACGTAGACTACTATCACTTAGGCAATCTACATGTAGACTACTTTGAGATTTCTATCATTTTTTCCTTTTTTTGTATAATTGTCTTAAACACAGATTATACAACAAGGTGGTTGGCAACTCAGTAAGTTGTTTGCACAATATTCAGTTTAGTTTGCATAGAAATAACTCTCCTTCCCCATCAATCAATAATTTAAATAATATTTAATTCAATTTTGTAATTGAAATCATCAGTTCAAGTGAATAATCAGGTGTCAGAGCAAAGAGATCTCACTATTGGTAAGCGGAGTAGATTGTACCCTAATCTAACCATTCGTAGACAGGAGTCTTAGCACTAAAATTTTTGTTTTAACTTTTACTTTTTAGATTTTTTTTTGTTATTCAAACTTTTTAACAGTCAAACGTACCAACCATTAAAAAACTGAAAAATTATAAATGTACCTCTCCATTAATAGTCATAAAATGAACAAAACCAAACAGCTATCACTGGGGTCAAGAAATGGAGCAATATTAGCACCTCATGGCCTACTTTCTAATGCTTTTCCAACTACCTCTTTCTCCCTCTCTCTCAGACTGCCAGTGCCTAACTCCTAATATTTCTCATTCTTTTTTCTTGGTTTTGAACTTGCACTAAGCAAATTATATACTGAGAATTTTTTTTTTTTTTTATTGTTTGGGATTCATTGAGGTTACAAAGAATTAAGATACACTGATTGCATTTGTTAGATAAAGTCCTTCTTTTTTTTTTTTGTGATAAGCATCTCACTTTGTCACCCTGGGTAGAGTGCAGTGGCATCATGGCTCACAGCAACCTTAAACTCTTGGGCTCAAGCAATTCTCTTGTCTCAGCCTCACAAGTAGCTGGGACTACAAGTTCCTACCACAATGCCTTTTTTTTTTTTTGCAGACGGGGTCTTGCTTTTGCTCAGGCTGGTCTCGAACCTATGAGCTCAGGCAATCCACCCACCTGGGCCTCCCACAGTGCTGGGATTATAGACATAATTGTGTCATACTCCCAGGAGGTATGCCATACACCATGACCTCGCATTTCTCTCCCTCTTCCCCTCTTCCAGCTCCCTCAATAGTGTATTCAGTGTCATTTTTGGCATCCTAAATTTATGCATGATCACAAATAATGTGATGGCTTGATTCTATATTATATAACTGTCCTTGGCAGAAAAATGGCCCTGAAAGGGACCATTGAATGTTACCTTATATGGCAAAAGAAAGTTTATAGATGTGATTAAAT